TCTGCTTTGACTTTTGCCACAGGTACCTTGAGGGCAGTGGTTGGTGCCCACCTCAGGGTATCAGATGTCGGGCAGTCGTTGATGCTTAACCACAGCCGGGGTTAAGGTGGATTATCACTTACAGTGTAATCAGTTAGGGGATTCTACAGACTGTTAAGGGTTCAGCCTCCTGATAAGTCGGTGAAACTCCGACGAAACAGTTTGCCATAGCCCCTCGTTTGTTGTCCTCTTCTCCCTCTCTGCCTACGGTTTGTTGGGCAGCTCTGTTTGACTATATATATAGTCACAGAACTATTGACTAAGATTGTATTACTAAGCACGTGAAGTAGAAGAAGAAATAAGATGAGAGAAGAAAAGAAAAATGATAGGACAGACAGGCGAAGAGACAGACAAACTAGAATGACAGAAAACAGTGTCCTCTTTTTTTTTGTTTCACTGTATTCTTATTTCTTTCAGTATTTTACAATTTTTTTTTTTTTTTTACACTGAACAAAGGATAAAAATAAAAAACAAAGACACGTTGAAATCATTTAGTTTCTCTGTCTTCTTAACGCCTCCTCCACCGTGCCTCTAACGTACAAGGCTCGCCACGTTGATGAAGTTGAGCGCAAGCTGCCCCCATCTCCAGACGCCATAACAGCCCACTTGCACACTATGGGAAAGAGGCAGAGTGAAGGAAGAGGTATTAAACACAAGGAAGAGGAGCAGAAAAAGAAAACGGATAGGCAGAGGGAGAAAAAATAAAAAAAGGTGACACAAACATCTTCTTTTTTTTACTGCATTCTTGTTTCTTTCACAGTTTTGCAGTTTTGGTGAAGAGTCAACCACGTTTGCTTTTCAGCGCACCTGCACTTCCTTGAAGTTCCTTCTTCATTTTTCATCTTCATTTTCACCCTTCGGACTTTTCTTTTGATGGTGTTAGGGTGCAGGGTACAAACAAAGTAAGATGACACAAACTTATGTTCTTCTTTTACTGCATTCTTCACAGTTTTGCAGTTTTAGTGAAGGGTTCCCCACCTTTGCACATTCTTGTACACTCTTTTCAGCGCACCTGCACATTTTTGTCAGGGTGCAAGGTGGGTCTAAGTAAGACCCTCACAACAGATAGGACAATTGTCAGAAGGCGTGGGCGATGGTAGCAGCCCTCCCGCTGATGTACAGGACGAAAACCATTCAGGTAAGAATATCACAGCAGGAGCCAGGGCGGCTAGCATCAACCATACCTCTGACGCATGCACGACAGAGGACATGCCGGTCGCAGGCCATGACGATTGTGGGGCGTTCACCATCACATTTAAGTGCACATTCGCTATCGCGCCCGCAGGTACAGATGGGACATACTGTATCTGGATGTTGAGGATGTTCACAATCTGGATACAGGTGGCATCCTTGCCGACAATGGGCCCGAAAAACTATACAGTTGTAGTGATGTCGACAAAGTCGATGCTTGTCCACAACCAAGTGTAACTATGTCAGTGATCTCACAAAGAGGTCACAAGGTGTTAGTGCAGCATGTGGGGGAATGAAGACTAAAGCAGGCACGGTGACAGACAAGGAGATAGAGACAGAGACAGACACAGAAACGTGCTTGGACACAGCTGTGGAGGCCAGCACAAGGACAGGTGCAGAGGCTAGGACGAAAGTACACGAGGTACCCATAGGGTCAGTACTCTGGAAGGAGACACACACAGAAACAGGCACAAAGACAGGTACGGAGGCAGGCACAGAGATAGGCGTAGAAACGGGCATGGAAGTACACATGGTACCCATAGGGTCAATGACCTGGAACAGTTGCAAGTTAGGGTAATTACGCACGAGATCACAAATGGCAGCAATAGTTTGCACCATAGCACCACAATTCCATAATTCCCCTAACCAGAGGCACGAACAAGAGCGGTGTAGTGGCCAAGAGCATGTAGAATAGAGGCACAAATGTGCGAACAGTGGTCCGGGTCGCTACCCGAAGGGGCAAGCTACATATCAAGCCGGCGCCTTATCAAAGCAGTCTCCAAAACAGAGGCATTGAATCCCCCATGTCGAGTGTAATTACTATCTTGTGGGGGATGCAGAGTCGGGTTATCACCATATAACTCGCGTTCTTGAGCATCAAGATCGGAAGCAATGGCCAAGAAATCAGAATGAGTATATGGTTCCCGACGATAGGCTTGTAGGCATATGTTAGTAGCAGTGAGGCCACAGAGATTCAGTGGAGGTCGGTCAGGCGGATTTTCTACAAAATCTTTTACAGTCCCCTTGCCAAGATCATCCTCGGATGGTCCCTCGCCATCATCCCTCCTATTTTGTGTTTGCCGCGTTGCAGAAAGGTTTGCAGTCGAAGAACGTTGCGAGCGTCGTACGGATGCTTGGGGTGGCAAAAGACGAGGGCGAGATGTTGGGGAGGGACATGGTGGAGAGAATGAACGGGTTCTTCTTCGTCCAATAACTGAGATGGAGGAAAGGGGAGTAAGGTGAGAGGGGTAACGGATGGAGACAAAACCAGGGGAGGTAGGAGTAGTGAAGATAGGGGTGGTAGAATAGTTGGAAGGTGGGTAACAGACGACGACAAAACCAAGGGAAATAAAGGCGGTGAAGACGGGGGGGTTGAGGTCATGAGTGGTGAAGTGGTTGAAGCACGGAGAGGGGGGGTAGTCGTAGGTGAGACCCGAAGAGGGGACTCTGCAGCTGGTAATGCAGGCATCGTCATGGATGCCATGGAGGAACACACTGAGACCAAGGGCGACACAATAGCTGCGGTGGCCACGGATGCTATGGAGGAACACACCGAGACCAAGGGCGACACGACAGTTGCGGGTCTAGTTGCTCCCGTGGAATCAATCATAGAAGCAACCAAGGCCGATGAGGAAGAGGCTGTGAACCGGAAAGGGGCAGCCAAGGTCACAAACGACAAGGAGGACGCAGGTGCGATAGACGCAGGTAATGAAGAAGAGGTTGTCATAGGTGTGATAGGCGCCGGTAATGAAGAAGGGGTTGTGACAAGCGTAGTCCGAGGACAGTGGGTGGATACCTGAGAAAGCGGGTGGCGAATAGACCATCGAAGCATGTTGTGGAACCAGCTTGAGAGGCGGGTCACGTGCGCAGGGTACCTGTGTTGACGTTTACGAATATAGGAAGTCCATCCTTTCGCAAGCGTTGTTGGAGAGTGCCCATGAAAAAGCGTGCAGTGTGTGAGCATCGCTGCTGCAGTCTTGAAATCATACCAGGTGTTGCTGACATACTCAAACCTAGTAAGCTGGCCTGTAAACACTCCCACCGATTGGTATGCAGGGACTTTAGACGTAGCACTACGATAATGAATAACAGGGAAATTCCATTCAACTTCTTTGTCAAAGACACTCATACGCACACTCATACGCAGGGAACCGTCAGGGCGGACTTGGAGGCGTGCACCCAAGAATGTGCAAGAGCCATCAGGCAATGTGGTCTTTTTCCATTTGAGGTCATAGTGCTCTAACGGTGGTGGCAGATGTCCCCCTGAGAGAACATCATCGATCAAGCGGTATATGAACGCATACCGTTGAGTTGCGCGAATATCACGCCGCTGGAGTTCATCAGCAAATCGAGCCTCATCCCAATACAACGTCAAATTAGCTATCTACGGACCAGAATTAGTCCCCATCGGGATGCCAATCAGCTGATGTCGCAAGGTGTCGTCCGCTGCATAAAGATACGTGTTTGTGACAATGAAATGGAGATGTTCAAGAATTTGGGAAACGGTCAAGGTTTTCGGTCCAGTATCAACCGTCCACTCCCCTTGACGGGGCCCTTTAACAATCATGTTAAGAGTAGGAGGATGTGTGCGTCCCTGTGTGTTGTTCTAAGGCATATGTTTCGGCTTCCTCAACCGCTTTTGATACATTATGACAAATATGATAATGAGGAAGATTGGTATACATAGTTGTGAAATCAACAATGCGAGGAGCATGGTCATGAAAAGAAGATGAATTACGTTTGAGATCAAGCATTGCCTCCTCAGCGCTTTGCACGATCCAGCACCGTCTCACGCCGCTTTGCTGATACAATAGATTATCCTTTCCACGGAGAGTTTCAATAACTCCTTGTAGTGCAATGCTGAGGCGCACAAAAGCGAAGGTAGTACTGGCCAAGTGTTTGTGGGGAGGTCGATGGTGGACTGCATGAAGAGATGGCGCAATTGATTGAGATCGCTGCGGCAGGGAGAGATTATTCCGCTCAATGGTACCGACAATACTGTGAAGCCCAAGGGGTGATTTGTGCGCTTTAAGTGCATAGTATAGATACGGCAACGTATCTTCGTGTGTATATCCCCACCGATGATTCCAGAGCGCGTGATGTTCAAGAATATCTGCAACAAAGTCAAGAGGCACAACATAGGAAGGGTTGTCCAAATGAGCAGATAGATGAGATAGGTACCAATTTTTACAACTGATTGCCAAGTTGTGTGAGGTCTTGTCGACAGGAACAATAGCAAAGTGTTGTTGAAGGTGTCTCAAACCCCTATGCACTGAGTGAAGGGAGTGTGGTAGTGTGGGGGGATGAGATGTTGCTTTGGCAACGTGTGAGAACGGCTGAGCGCCACTGCTGCAATTTGTTCAGAGCGGCTGACCGAAGCTGCTCGGAGACCGACCTAAGGTATTTAGCAACATACTCGTCAAGGACGACTCTAACAGCCTGAAGCACATCAGCGATTTGTCCATTAAGACGATACTTTGCCTTCATGGAACAAGTCGCGGAGGCGATCATCAGTAATGATGTCGCAGTCGGTTGTAAGAACATGGTCGTCGACTAAGTGTGAGCAGTCAGGAAACACTTTCCGACACTGACAGTCTGAGGGGTCAGGCAGGGAGATCCCAAGTGTGACGTTGAGCGCAACTTCGTGAAATTAGAGAATTGGATGTGAGTTGGCGACAACAACTTATCACAGATACGCAAGTGTGCTGCGGCATCAGGGTCAGGGTGCAAGTGGAGCACCTGGGGTGCATGCAGGGCTTGTCGCAGCCCCGTTACCTGAGACACCTCGTGCATGTGCACAACTTTAATATGATCAAGGAAGGCATCTCGAGACTAGGGTTGTGTATTGCTCGCGGACATGTTGATGCTTCAGAATCAGGCATCCAAGCTCATGGATATGCGCAGTCATATCTGCATTGCATATATCTGTCTCTTATACACATCGCATTGCATATATTATTGCTCAACCACTGCAGCAACCGGGCACGCCAAACTGATGTTGCTCGTTAGGTGACAGATTCCATCTATTGTGAATTGCCAGCAGCAGCCTGTGAGAGAAGATCGTGCAATGCAAACCGGACTTGAAAGTCTGGGCCTGGACGCAAATCGATAGGTTGGGGTTGTTGATGGTCTGACGGACGAGGGTCTGTCTATGTCCACCGATGAGGACGACACTCTCGTCTTCTTGCAGGCAGGCGACCAAGCAGCAAGACAACGTTGAAACCAGGTGGATAAACAGTTCGCAGCCGACACATCCAATAGGATTCCCATGTCGTAGAAGCCCGTCGGAAAAGGTTACGGTGAACAAGACCTTGCGGTGTATGGAAAAGGGTCGGGGCAATACGTTCCAAGGGCCAGACTGCAAAATTGAAGGGGTTTTGACAAGACATGACACTGTAGAGACGGCGACACCGAAACTCCTCAGCAGAACGACGAACATGCCAATGTTTCTGCAAATCTTGATGCAAGGAGTGCATAGTCTGACCTATGTAAAAACGCCAGAGGGGATATGAACGATAACATAGATCACTCCCCGGACAGAGAGAGGGTACCTGGTTGAAGTGCCTACTGATCAATGCCTCTCATCTACAATTTGAAACACTTTGCTTGAATCGTCGTGTTAAGTTGTTGCAACTGCCTCTTGTGCCAAGTGCCTGCATAGTAGAGGTCAGTATTCCAATGAAGGTGTCGAACCCAATCAATGCGACGCGTGGAATCGGTGTGTAGATGAGCTTGGGAGGAAAAAGCAGAGAAGAGTCGATGATTATATCGCCAAACAGAGTTGCCCAGTAAACCGTAGGCAGAGAGGGAGAAGAGGACAACAAACGAGGGGTTGTGACAAACTTTATATATATATATATTTATATGACGATACATATATAGTCAAACAAAGCCCGTAAACCGTGGGCGGAGAGGGAGAATAGGACTAAACGAGGGGTTGTGACAAACTGTTTCCTCGATTCGAAAGTTTCACTGAGTCGGACTCATTTGTCCAGTAAACCGTAGGCAGAGAGGGAGAAGAGGACAACAAACGAGGTGTTGTGACAAATTGTTTCGTCCAAGTTTCACCGAGTCGGACTCATTAGGAGGCTGAACCCTATATATATCGTCAAACAGAGCTGCCCCCTAAACCGTAGGTAGAGAGGATGAATATGCTAACAAACGAGGGGCTGTGACAAAATGTTTCGTCGGAGTTTCACCGACTCATCCTCTTATCCTTCTCTGCCTACCGTCTACAGTGTAGCTCTATTTGACGGTATATACCATGACTTCGCTACCACCTTGCTACGGTTTTCTCCGGTCAGGTCGAGCAGCAGTGGTCATCGCCGTCACTACGGGGTCATGATATGCCTGTAGTGCCAGCTGCGTGTCCTGAGTGTATTTTTTGGCCATGATAAGCCTTTCTTTGTTTCGTGGGTGTTGTGTTGGCTTGTGATGGGGTGTGAACCGACACTGCTGAGATTTCCATCTGGTGTGGGTGAGTGATAGTCTGCTTTGATTTTCGTCACAGGTACCTTGAGGGCAGTGGTTGATACCCACCTCGAAGTACAAGTTGTTGAGCAGTCGTTGATGCTTAACCACATCTGGGGTTAAGCTGGATTATCACTTACAGTGTAGGGGATTAATATGCAGACTATTGAGGGTTCAGCCTCCTGATGGGTCGATGAAACAACGACGAAACAGTTTGTCAAAGCCCCTCGTCTGTTGTCCTCTTCTCCCTCTCTGCCTACGGTTTACTCTGTTTGACGATATATATATGTGCTATCAATTTCATTACGACTATGTTTAACATGTGTGGCCCAAGCATGACCATGCATACATTACCTTTATTTGTGTGGTGTGTGCTAATTACAACTTTTCTGCTTTTATTGTCACTTCCAATCAAGGTTGTCATGCGGGGATCCCCGGGCCTGAGTCAAGGTGGGGGTTTCACCCCCGAACCCCCGCAGCGAGGATCACCGACCCCTGCACCCCGCCATCCACCCCCGCCCGTGCCCC